GGAGAGTAAGACACAAAGGGAGCGAACGTAGGGGTGTGCTGATGAGCAGACACCAGTGTGGACAAGGGGGGCACATCCTGCTGGGAACTCTTTGAAGGGTTATGCAGACCATATCTCAGAATAATCTCACCAAGTCAATGTAGTGTATTTATCCACCAATTTCCAATCAACGAAGGTATTTATCCACCAATTTCCTTTCCTTAATGATTGGGGTTGCTTAACGACTGCAGATAAATCCCTAGCACTCATGGCCTGCTCTGCACGAATGGTGAGTGCCCTCCCTGATGCTGGAGCGACCCTCAGCAGGGCAGGGAGATGCAGGCACCTGAGCTTGTAGCCATCTCTGTGTATGGTGCACGGCAACTGTCCACCTGCAGCTGCCGGTGACCTTGGAGCTAGGACGGGGGGATCTAGAGCTCTGAATCACCCATGACTGCTAAAATCTCTTTGGGAATTAAAGAAAAAATGTTAAATATATTTTTAAGATCCCCTACGGTGGGAGAGGAATGGTTGAAGGGAAAGCAAAGAAACCTGGAGTCCTGCTGGGTCTCTGAAAAGTGCCCTAAGACCTTCTCCAAGTCCAAGTCCCACAGCAGAATTTGTATGTAGAGGTAAGTCACAGACACCCTAGATAGGGGGCACCAAGATACAGTCCAGGCCAATGTCAACACCGGAGTCCTCATCAACGGCACGGTGTGGGAATGGAGCCTTTCCTGGGTTTAAACTGTGGGTTTGAGAGAGTCTCTCAGAGTTCCCCATGTGCCCAGAAAGAGTGGCAAGGGTTTGTCACGGAAAGCCAGTGACCCGAGGAGGCATGGTGTGTGGAGAGCAGGTGGAGGTACCAATACCAGCACATCTGCAGGGAAGTATCCAGAGGCCATGGGAGCAGGGCCCTTTCAGAGGACCCCAGCATCGATGGGTGACAGCGAGGAGCACAGGTGTGCTCTCGTCCAGCGCCTAGGGCCTGATAGCTCAGACCCTGTCCTGCAGAGAGCGAGGGGAGGGAGAGACTTTGAAATTCCTGATATTGGTTCAAGTGCAAGGCTGGAGGAGAGTTCTTATTTTTGCCATAAATGAACTTGTGAACACTCGCTCTGCTCAATGTGATTCCTCAATGTGGGTTCATGAGTTCATTTGTGGCAAAAATAAAAACTCTCCTCTGGCCTTGAACATCTGTGTCTGTGACCCGAGGCTTATACACACAAAACTGAGTTCCCTTGCTTCCCCCTCAGGCCTACGCAGAATCTATCCTGGACCAGAGAGAAGCGACTTGAACTTGGATCTCTTCCTTGTCATGTTCAGGGAGGTGTGTTCTTTGTGAGAGTGCCTGTGAATCTTAGCTGACCTGGGAGGCATCTGGCAGGCTTGTTGAAACCCAGATGCCTAGGCCCACCCCATAAACTGAATCAGTATGTCTGACAAGGGCCTAAGAACAGTCTACATTCTTGGCCACCTTTGCATTTGAAGATGACCTTGCTGGTGATGGCTGGGTGCGGAGAGGATCTTAGAGACATCCTATGAGGCTGCCAGTCCTCCCCAAGGGAGTGTGAAGGCTGTTCTCTGTCGGTGCTTGCCCTTGTGACATTTAAACACCCAGCCACACTCTAACCAGTGGCACTGTTCTTTCCCAGTACAACCCGTGCCCGGCGTGAGCACTTGGAGGGCAGAGGTGTCGGGGCTGTGTCAGAAAACCAGGCAGTGGGGTGGGCCAGCTCACGCAGGATCCCCCCAAGTAGTCTGAGTAAAGGGAGGACTGCAGTTGGCTGCTGGTGGTGGCATGCCTCCCACTTCCCTCCCACCCCGCCCCGTTCTAAGGCCAAACGTGGATACCACCCTGGGTGTTACCTTATCACCAACAATCCATTTAGTGCACAGAGAAGAGTGAACATCAGATCTCATCTCTGAGAGCCATTTCTGTGCTGTATTGCTGAGTCAGCACTGCCTGGGTGGGAGAGAGGAAGATGGAGCTACTGTCAACAGGAGAGAGAGTCAAGGGGGGAGGGCAGGCACCCCAGGACTGTGTCCAGGCCCTGCTCCCTCAGAGAGCCCTGGACTGGGGCAGCATAACCCTGAAGACTTTGGGCAGTGAGTAACTGAAGGGACATCCCTCAGGGAAGTCCTGTTTCTAAGGCTCAGAGGAGTAAGGCGTAGAGAGAAAGGGTTTTCGTGTTGTGTCTGGGGATCCATCACTTGCTTGGTCTTGTTTCTGAAAAGAAGACATGGAGAAGAAAATCCATCCCAGCCACACAAGGACAGGAGCTAAGAGACAGGGTTGTAGACTGAGGCTGTGTTGCTGACGTCCGGGTGCTGAAGGAAGCGCCGGGCTATGAGATTAGCAGCAAAGTTATACCCCTGCGAGCTGGCCACTGGATGGGGCACAGCAGCACGTATGTGGGACATGGTCCCCGCGGCCTGGGGTTGGGGGATCCTGCTGCTCACCCCAGTCCCGATGACCCTGAAAAGCCTGGGGGACTTGGGGAGAAGTCTGGGTCCCACACCATGTGGGGATGTAACACTTGTTACATTTCCCTGAGCGGGACTCCTACCTTGAACTGTCTAATGAATACTTGGGGGTCCCCCAGGGGTCCATAAGAGTGAACTTTCCTGGGAGCCTGTGGGAGTCAGAGCCAGGGTCAGCATGGCGGAGCCCCTCTGTGCCTGTCATCCCTAGATGGTCCGTTCCAGCCCTAAGCCATCCCAGCAGGTGCGGACCAACTTGAGGAGTTTTGAGGTCGCTTTGTCCATTTGGGGACCACCTAGGAATTTTATCTCCTTTAGGAGACCAAGATCCTTAAAGTATCATCCCAGGATTATGTGGAGTCCTTTTAGGGCTGACCCAAACCCTAGAGCCTCGGAAGACACACAGACCTTGCTTATATTGAATCAGAAGAGCTGGACACTTGCCTCTGTATCCACTGGACAGATGTCTGAGTGCCTTGTGTACGCCAGACACAGGCCCAGTCTCCGGAGAAGCAGCAGTGAGCAGACGGAACCTTCTCTTGTGGAGATGACCTTTTATGAGGGTGAGACAATAAAGAACTGAGTAGCTTACTTCTCAAGTGTTGAGAAGAACCACGGAGATTCTCAAAGAAAGCAGGAGAGGACGGACCTGGAAAATACGGTTCAATCCACCAATTCCGAAGTGCTGTCCCACAGGGCACTGCTCTGGGAAACGGAGAACACCCACACATAACTCACCATTCCACCTCTGACTCCCCGGATGGTGTCAGGGGAAAACACACCGGCACGCGTGCACACACACACACGGGGAGAAGCAACTGGGTCAAAAGGCAAAACGTTTTTTTGTGACTTGTTTGAGCTCACATTCTAAGATCAAAATCAAAACAGAAACCATAAGCAAGTCACGTCATGAATTCGCCATCAGCCGTCTGGCCCCGCCCTCTACTCCTGGCTGCAGGGCAGCCATGGGCTTCCCAGACATCGGGAAAAATCCACCTCACCGTGATAGTTCCCCTTAATCAACATCCAGTGGAGAGCTCCGAGCATGCTCGATTCCCTGTGCTCTCTCCCGCACGCACGCCCCCCCTCCCTGATCCCGCGGCTTGTGGCTTCAAACACCTTCTACGTGCCGTGCTGTGGCGATCTGACTCCCTATCTGCCGCACTCGTCTATCCAGCTGCCTCCGCTGCATCTCCGCTTGGCTGCCTAAAAGACACCTCCAAATTCACAGGTCACCAGCTGGGCCACTGCTGTTCACCTCCTGCCTCCTCCTGGCCTCCCTGTCTCAGTGGATGGCAAGTCTATTCTTCCAAACACTCAGACCAAAAACCTGAAATCATCCCTGACTCTTACCTTTCCCTCACACTGCATATCAATCTATCGGCCAAACCCTTCATGTTCTTCTTAAAATATGTCCAGAAGCTGAGCACATCCCACCACCTGCACCGATGCCACTTCGGTCCACGTCCTTATCATTCTCACTGTGAAATGAATGCCTCAGTGGATGCCCCTGCTTCTGCCCTTTGCCCCCCTCCCTGTCTAATCTCAACACAGCAGCCAGAGCCATCCAGCTGAAATCCGAGCCAATGCATCTGTCCTCCACTCACGACCCTCCGAGGGCTCCCACCTCCCTCAGAGGTAAAGCCGAAACCCCTGCCATGACCCCTCCCCACCATGCCTGTCCGCGTCCGTTCCCCATCACGCGGCCCCTCGCCCCCTCTCCCCCAGTCACACGGGCCCTCTGAAGCTCTTCGGACAGGCCGGGCACACTCTCGCCTCCGTACCTTCGCATGGGTTATTGTCTCCGCCCCAGAAATTCGTAGGGCAGCCACCTAGCCCCCCTCCTAACACAAATGCTACCTCTTTAGCAAAACTTCCCTCGCCATTTAGTGTCAAATTTCAACCCCTAGCCCGGGATCCCTAGGCTCTTTCCCTGAAATACGTATTTTCACCATCTGACCCACTGCAAATGTTAATGAATTACCTGTCTGTCTTTCCCACTAGACTATATGCTCCACAAGGCACAGATTTTGGCCTGTTCTGTTCCTTGCTGCACTCCCGGTCCCCAGAAGAGTTTGGGCACACAGTAGGTGCTCATTAATACTTGTTAGTTGAATGAAGTTTTATGACTGAAGAAGCATGCCACTCCTCTTCCAACAGCATCCCCCCCCTCAGTGGCCAGCACATAGTAGGCATTCAGATGCTCCTGTGGGCAGAAGAGGCTTCCATGAGCATCCCTTCATTCAACCAAGCTCAGGCTTCCCGAGCTTCCCTCATTGTCAGAGGACGGGGTTGTGGTCTCCAGGAAGCAAGGACGAGTCTGGTCTAGCTTTACAGACACCTGTGGGAGGCTGAGGGTGCAACCCGACAGCTAGCATGTTGCATCTACATCACGTGTACAGCCTTTCTGAAAACAGGAGGGGATACTCTTTCCTGCCCCTTTGGGTGGGGCAAGAAGTCTCCCTGGGAACAAGATTCAAATCTGAATCCCTGGCATGTTTCTGTTTGGGTTTGGTCCTAGCAGTGACGACTTTTATTTTCCTCCGGAACTGTGTTCCACGGGGTTGTGCAAAGCCTGGGAACAGTGAGGGCATTAGGACCAGGAACGAGGCATCCGCCTGGCTCAGGCTGTGTCTGGCAGAGGGCTCTCGGCTGAGCGCGGAGCTATGTGTGAAAGGAAACCAGGCACTGCCTGCCGGCTTCTCATCTGTTGATCTGACGTGACTTGAAGCGTCCAAAGGATGACGGCTGTCAGCTCTGCTGGACGGAGGACCCACCAGCTCCCCCCAGACATCGCATAGCAACCTGGCCACTCATGTGAGGGGGGAACGAAACAGGGGACTAAACACCTGAGCAGAGTGGAACAACTGTTTTTCCCCAAGGAGAGAGAGAGAGTCAAAGGGGGCAATCCATTTCATTTGAAGTCCCTGTGAATGGGCTTTCAGAGGGCAATTAAAGAAATCCACTCAGAGAGGACCTGGGGTGGGACTTGGGTCCTGTGGCTTTCTGATTGTAAGTGGAGGCTGGCCTTACACACGCTGTTGGCAAATGTCAGATGGGATAAAAGGAGCGGGTTAAGTGACTGTCAAAAAACTTCCAGGTGGAACCAGAAACCCAGGTTCTGCTGCAAGCTGGAAGGAACCTGGAGCAGGAGGAGAAAGCGAACTTGAACATGACCTGTTGCACTTGGCAAGTTCCAGCAACATGCTCCTAAAGAAGAGATGCAGGCATGGACCATGCAGACTGCACTTCCTGGTGCTCTTGCTGATGCTGGGATGCGCGCTGCTGATGGTGGCCCTGCTGCCCCCTCCTCCGCACGCCCTGGACCAGGCCGTTACAGCTCAGGCTGCCCAGCATAGTCAGGCAGCTGGGTACCGCCTGGACTTCGGGGAATCCCAGGAGTGGGTGCTAGAGTCTGAGGATGAGGACCAAGAGTACGGTCCTTTGGAGAGCCTGCCGCCTTTTATCTCGCGGGAGGACCAGCTCCTAGTGGCCGTGGCCTCGCCCAGGATCAGAAGGAACCAGAGCCAGGGCAGGAGAAGTGGCAGCTACAGGCTCATCAAGCAGCCGAGCCGGAGGCTGGACCAGGAGGCCCCAGAGAAAGACTGGGGAGCAGAGGAGGAGGATGAGGAGGTATCTGAAGAAGATGAGCTGACGACGCTCCACCTGGAGGAGGCGCTCAGCGCCCGCATCCCCCTGCAGAGGGCGCTTCCCGAGGTACGGCATCCGCTGTAAGTAAGGCCCTTGCTTTCCCTTCCTCGGTACTGGGGTGCTATCAGCAAAGGCGGGGTACAAGCTTTCTGCACTCTGCCTAGAGCAGCGCTTTCAAGGTGTGGCCGCGGGAGGAGCAGCCGCACGCCTCACCTGGGAACCTGTTAGACGCACGGAGTCTCAGACCCCGCCCAGGCCTCCTGCGTCAGAAACCCTGGGTGGCATCCTCTGATCTTTCCAGGCCAGAACCACCGCCCTACAGGTCCTAGAGAACACAAAGGGAGCAACTCCTGCTTGTTCCTTCCCTTCCCCATCCTGCGTCCTAGTCCTTCTGTCTGGATTTTCGGGTCAAACAGCTTTATCTACATAACGCAGAGGGGACACGGAGCAAATGATCTCCAGGCACCTTCCAATTCTAATACTGTGACTCCACTATATTTTGATATTATGGTTGTTGTTAGTGTTTGCTTTTATCTTGAATCAAATAATTGCAGCTAACATTAATGTGGCTCTTGCTCTGTGTCTGGCTTTAATCTGAGAGCTTCTCATGAATTAACTTGTAAGGACCTTACAGCTCTGTTGGATGGGTGCTCATAGTACCATATTATGCCTATTTTATAGGTGTGAAAATAAGGCACAGAGAGGCCAAGTGACTTCTCCATAGTCACACAGCTAGCAGGTGCCAATGCAGGGATTTGAATTTAAGCAGAAGCTCCATCTGCCTGAACCACCATTCTATGCCACCCTCCTTAGTCCACTAAAGGGACAATTCCAGTGCCCAGGAGCTGGAATACTGCGGTCTGACTTGGCAGGGTGCCCACCTCCCCAGACCAGGAGCAAACTGGGATGGCATGCAAGCTGTGCCCAGGGAGATGGTGGGCTCATCCTATACACACCTGTCCTCTTCCCTGCCCTCACACCACCACGGCTGGCTGCAGAGAAGGGGGCCTGGTTAGCAGCAGCCAGGGGCAGCTGGTTAGTTTGGGTGATCTTGGTCCCTTCCTTATAAGCCACATCTCTTTCAGAGCCCAGAGGGTTTCCTGGGAAACCGGTGTGCCCCCCACCCCCTGGGAGAGAGGGTCCATGTAGAGCAGCAGCTGGGAGCAGGCCACGTACCCCTGGGATCCCCACAGGGTCTCATGCAGCCTGACACGGTGGCCGCTCATTCTGTGCAAGTGCAGGGCAGTGCATGGGAGTGATGCTTGCTGATACTGTGTGCCTGGGTGCCTTGCCACCTCCCTTTCGTCCCAACCCTGCTGTTCTGACTTCTAGTCTTGGCTTTAAAAGCTCTTTTCAGGAAACTTCGAGCCCCAGCCAGCCCCACCCTCCTTTCAGTTTTGTACTCTCTGGAGTTTTAACTCATAACAGCCATTGCAACCAAAGCTGAATGGCCATTGACGTGTCAGTTTGTTCAATGCCTGCTTCCCCTGCTGTGCAGTGAGCCATAGGTTCCAGCACACAGTAAAGAAATGATTGCTGAGTTAGTGGATATAGAGTTTTCAAATTCTTTTCATACATTTTTTCACAGGCCTCGGGCAAGAATGAGTATCTTCCAATTGGAGATCTCTGGCCAGAGGTGTGTGTGTGTGGGACCATGTGTTTTGCACTGTGAAAGTATGCCATTCACATGCGTATCTGTGGGTGCATTGCATGTGTTTGTGCATCATGCTGTGTATGAACTGAATGGATGTTGTACACATGGGATGCATGTAGCACATGTGAGTAGCACATTAAGGGGTGCTTGTGTCTGTTGTGTATGTGGTGTGATACACACAGGCATGGGTTGTATGTTGTCTTGCATGTTCATAATGGGTACATTCATGTTCACATGTGTTGGTGTGTACTGCAATACATGATACACATATATCATGTGCTGTGCATGTGTCGTGGCATGCACACACACTGTGCACATGTGTGTGTGTGTGTGTTGTGGTATGATGTTTGTTTTGCCTATATTTTTGTGGTATGTGTGTATGTGTATTTTGTGTCATGACTGTGTAGCAAGTTTGTGAAGTACTTGTGTGGTTTGTGCTCATGTGTGTATGCATCTGCTGCATGTGTGTTACAAATGTCTTGTGTGGGGGTACATGTGTACATGTGTAAATGTGCTGTGTGTGTTATGCATGTGATGTGAAGTGTATGGATGTGTTGTGTGTATGGCACAGGTGTGAGCAAATTTTGTGTTATGTGTATGTGTATAAGTGTGCTGCGTGTGTCCTGCTGGTGGTATGTAGAATATGGGTGTGTGTTGTGCATGTTTGTGGTGTGAGCATGGATACATTTTGTGTTGTTTGTGTTGTGCACATATGTATGTGTGCACCACTTTAGCGTTGCCTCTTTCAGCTAGGGTAACCAGTCTGTTTCAGTTTCCCTGGAACTTACCTGATTTTAGTACTGAGCCCCTACAGGTAGGTACCAGGCAAACCCCGACGGTTGGTCTCATCTCCAATTTCCCAGGGTTCTCATAGGACCGCCCCCAGCTCTGTCTGGAGGTGTGAGGCGCCCTCTGCTGGCTGAAGTTGGTCCATGCAGCTTGTGCTGCCCAAGACTGGGGCCCCAGACTCCCCTTCTCCCGTCTGGCTTCAGACACCCAGCACCCCTCTAGGATTCTGAAAGGATTCTCTGTGAAGTGAGACAGTAACACCGCCCCCTACGCACTCTCTCTACAGGGTGACTGGACTCTCCTCCTTCCGCCACTTTCAAACCCAAAATAGAACCCATAAAAGAGCAGCTTTATATTCAGCACCAGCGAGCGACCTGCAGATCCAGCACTGCTCCTTTCCCACCAGAACCAAAATACTAAACTTCTCGCTGCTCTGCCTCCTGTTGTAGCGAGCCACACACCGCACCATCATCCTCGCCCCCTGCCCCGGCCCCAGCGCTTCTTGCAAGCCCCTCCTTGACTCCTAACCCAGACAAACCTCGCTGGCTCCAGTTCCCGAACCAAAGCCCCCAAACCAGCCCTGGCCTCTTATAACTACCTGTGGGTGATCGCTGAAGGTCAGTTTGAAAAGTCAACACGAGGAGACTTACTAATAATGAAAGATCAAAACATAAAAAAATCAGTGTAGGAGATCAAAGGGCAAAATATGAAAAGAACGGTAAAACTACAGTGAACATAGAACTAAATACGTTCTATGCGCTAGGGATTCTGCTAAATGGTGTTTACTTGTTTTGTCTTCATGACAAACCTGTAAGGTAGGTCATACCATCTCCGTGTTACGGATGAGAAATCTGAGGACCAGAAAGGTGGAGGGACCAGGGCCAGGTTACTTCACTAGGTGTGTCTGACACTAAAGCCGTGCTCTTCACCTCAATGCTGTATTTTCTGGGCAAGTTGTATAAGCTGGAAGCAATTCCAATATTTCCATCTATAAAATGGGGAGCACTCACACCAACTGGCCCACAGGGAGACACGGAAGAGGAGGCTTATTGTTGCATCCATGGTGGCCCTGAGGAGTTGGGAGCCACTTGGGCATTTTGTCCCAGGGCACAGTGAAACATGGTGGAATGCTCGTGCTGTGGGAAGGGCAGGGTCCACAGCTCAGGGGCAGGCGGAGAATGAATACGTAGATGAAACAAAGAGAAGGGCCCTTGATGCACCAGGGGCTGAGGACTAAGGTGGACTCCACCCTTCCATGCTGCTGTCAGAGGGTGGGGGCCGTGACGGGAGGAGCAAGCCTTCCCCATTCAGCCTCCGGGCGTGTAGACAGCTTCCAACACCCCTCCAGGCTTAGCTCTCCTTTGATCATCCTGGCATCCAGCATCTGGCAATTGTTGTCCAGGATCAAAGACCCCCAGCTGAGCAAGTGCTTTGTAATCTCTCCTCCAGGCAGTGGTCCTCAGACTTCAGTATGCAGCTCTGTACCTAAAGGCTTTGCTGCAATACAGATTCCTGGCCTCCACCCCCACAGTTTCTGACTCAGCAGGTCTAGGGTGGGGTCTAAGAATTTGATTTCTATGAGTTCCTGGGTGCCAGTGCTGCTGCTGCTGGTGATCTAGGACACTCTTTAGGCCAAGCAGGTTGGACAGAGCCGTGCTTCTCAAATTGTAATATTCATGCAACCCCCCTGGGCATCTTGTTAAAACGCAGAGTCTAATTTACCAGTAATAGGCCAGGGGTGTGGCCCCAGATGCTATATTTCTATCTAGCTCCCAGCCGGAGCCAGCACTACTAGTCCACAGACCATGCTTTTGAGCAGCAAGGGGCTACATCAGTGGTTCCCAAGACTATGTGTGTATTAGACTCCCACACAGGGCTTGTCTAAAATGTAGATTTTTCAGACCCTCTCACTAGAGACTCTTCCATAGCTTCAAGTTGGAGCCCAGTGATCTGAATTTTTAAAAGCTGATGTGGGATAGTTTGGGAAATCACTGCTATAGAATGTGAGTGGAGAGGTGGTGGAGTTCTGGGAAGTTCCCTGGAGGAAGTAGTACTGGGATTGGAAGACAGAGAAGAGAAGCATAGAGGAAGGTAGTCCCCCTCCTAACCAGGGGTCTTGTATTTAAACATAAATGTCAGCTCAGCTGTAGCTGGTTCTGTGCCACCTGCTTACTTCAACCCTAGGTTACCCTGGTTTATACACTTACAGTCGCAACTAAGCCAAAATTACGTGGAACAGTGGACTGGGGTTGAATCCGGGCACTGCCTCTTACTGTGTGACCTTCTATAATTACTCAACCTCTCTGAGCCTCAGTTTCCTCAACTGTAAAAGGGAGGTAACAACTTGCATGAGGTTATAGCTCAAATAAGACAAAATATTGATGATTTTTCTCCTAGTATTCAAGCCCAAACAGAAGTTGCCCCTGTCACATTCTCGAATGTAGGGCCATAGGAGTGACTCGGAAAGATGGAAGAAAGTTGGGGGCAGCTGCTGGGACATGATTGTCCTTTCTCTGATCAAGCAGTTCCTTTTCTGCCCCTGGGGGTTGCAAAATAATCACAAACTTGAGGGCACACTAGAATTATCTGGAAGGTCTTAGAAATTGCTCATACCCAAGTCCTATTTCCAGGGGACCA